GCTGTAGCTCAAGTGGTAGAGCACTCGCCTTGAGCTGAAGAGCTGAGGGACAGCGCCCAGGCCCAGAGTTCAAGCCTCACAACCAACAAAAAAAAAAAAAATAATTAAAAAAAAATAATAAAAATAAATAAAAAAAGGAGGAAGAGGGAGGCAAGAACTGCCAGGAAAACGCCTTGATGTTTCCTATGTTTGGGACTCAAATTCTGCTCTTTCAGAAGAATCCAGAAGTTAAAATATCTTTAAAATAAGCACTTAAACTTTGAATACACACAATCTGACAGACATAAATGTTATTTTGGAAAAGATAAACTTCTAAAATAATATAACACAAGAATCTAATTTCAGCTTTCAAATATGATTAAGTCAATATTTTAGTAAGTCTATTTAAGAGAACTATCTTTTGACTATTGAAGGATAAAAACTGAAATTTCTTTGAAGACATGTAATATTATTTAAAACAAAATTAGTATCATTTCTAACTAACTTCAATGTCTGATAAAAGAATTACTTACAGGGACATTAAGTGCATACTGTAGTCCTTGAGGAAGTCTTTCATGTGTTTCCATCTGCTCTTCATCATTTTTCACTGTCTCCTCATGGACCATGAGTTCATCATGTGATATCATATCCTGCTGTCTCATCTCACTTTCTTGTAACACTTCTTCTGCAGCAAGGATCTCCTGGTGAGGCAGACTTCGATCTTGAAGTACTGACTCTTGCAGTTCTCCAGACACGGTAGATTGGCCAGACACTCCACCCATTACAACCATTGCCCTGGAAGACTGCATTTCGTCTATGCCGCCACATTTAAGAAATAATCCTTCCAGTTTGTCGTCAATGTTCATGCTTAAGTATAACTGCCTAGAAAGACCAAGTTTGGCAACAAAGCATAATGAGTTAGTTTTATATGTCAACATTGAAAAATACTAAATTATGAAAGGTATACATGTAAATAGAAAAAACTTTATTCCTGTAGTTCAGAATTTTTAAATTTCTAGAATAGGCTTCCAGAGACTAATGAAGTAAACCTAAGTTTTCATTTTGATATTAAGGCACTAAATCTTAATCTGTTTTATTACTGAAAAATGGCTGGGCTCATTGGCTCAATTTTGTAATCTTAGATACTAAGAAGATGAAGATTGGGAGAATCAATGTTCAAGGCGAGCAGAGCTCTGAATGGGAATGGGGATATGGGAACCATTTCTACCAGTAAAAAGCTGGGAATGGTGGTACATCTGTCCTCCCAAGGATGTGAAAGGCACAGGGAAAAGGATCGAAGTCCAGGTCAACCCCAGCAAAATGCAAGACTCTATTTCCAGAAGAAAGCAAGAAAGGCTAGGGGTGGTCTCAAGTGACCAGACTAGCAAGCACAAAGCCTTGAGTTCAAACCCCAGTATTGTCCTACAAAAATAAACTCAAAATAAATCAGAAAAAATATTTGTAATTTTAGTAATTTGAAGGATTCGTATTCTTTAATATATTAAAGTACCTTAAAATAAAAAGTAAAGAGATGAATTCAGTAAGACATATATTGACTGAGAAGTCAAAATAGGAATCCAAGGGGCTAGGAAGGTGGCTCAGTGGTAGAGCGCTTGCCTTGCATGCATGAGGCCCTGGGTTCAATTCCTCAGTACCACATAAGCAAAAAGAAAAAAAACTGAAAGTGGCACTGTGGCTCAAGTGGTAGAGCACTAGCCTTGAGCTGAAGAGCTGAGGGACAGCGTCCAGGCCCTACGACCGGACCCCCCCCAAAAAAAAATCAAGAAGTCAACATTTGAAACAATGTTATATTTCATCTACCACCACTGGTAATAAGTTTTTCTTTAAACAACAAAAAAAAAAATACATCCAGCTAAGCAAGATAGTGCATGTCTGTGATCCTAGCACTCAGGGGCAAGAAGGATAATACATTCAAGGTCAGTTTGGGCTATAGCAAAACCTTGTCTCAAAATATAAAGTTACAAAATTTTTAAAATGACACCAAATGTTGAGGTAGTAAAAAACAACAGCCATCTATAGATAAGGAGTATAAATTAGATTGACTATTTTCAATGGCCATTTAATAATGTATGAAGTTTTAAAGATGTATACATTCCTCTAGCCTGCATTTAAAATTTTATTTCAGTGAAACTTTTTTTTTTTTTTTAGTGCTAGTTCTGGGCCTTGAACTGAGGGCCTGGGCATTGTCCCTCAGATTTTTTTGCTCAAAGTTACTCCTCTACCACTTTGAGCCACAGTTTCACCTCTGGCTTTTGGGTGGTTAATTGGAGATAAGAGTCTCCTGGGCTTTCCTGCCTTGGCTGGCTCTGAACTGTGACCTGCAAACCTCAGCCTTCTGAGTAGCTAGGATTACAAGCATAAGCACTGATGTCCAGCAATGGTATGGGGCAATCTTGGTGAAATTTATCCTTTGTGTATCCTAGAAACATACACAAATATATATACAAAAGATGATTACAGTGGTGATTATCATAATGAAAAATTAGAAAAATGTGTTCAATAAAAACAAATAGATTAAAATACAAACCAGGGCTGGGAATGTGGCATAGTGGTAGAATGCTTGCCTAACATGCATAAAACTTTGAGTTCAATTCCTCAGTACCACATAAACAGAAAAAGCCAGAACTGACACTGTGGCTCAAATGGTAGAGTGATCTCCTTGAGCAAAAGAAGCTTGGGGACAGTGCCCTGAGGTCAAGCCCCATGACCGACAAAAAATACATATATATTTTATTTTTTATTTTTTGTCGGTCAGTGGGGCTTGACCTCAGGGCCTGGACGTAGTCCCTGAGCTCTTCAGCTCAAGGCAAGCACTCTACCACTTGAGTCATAACTTTAAACAGAAATCCTCAGATCTTCTCAGCCTCCTGAGTAGTTAGGATTATAGGCATGAGCCACCAGCATCAGGTCCAATACATATTTTAAAACTACAAGTAATAATTGTTAACTAGGAGACTTTATAAATTTAATAAAACTCATTGAATTATATGCTTTCAATAGGTGAGTTTTACTCTAGGTAATATATCTAAATAAATTTTCAATAGTCAAATCAGAACAGTGGGGGGTCACCCTTTGGGTACTGAGGAGATACTACTGATAGATATTCAGAAATGGACATTTCAAGGGACCTAATGATGAAAGGAAGTTTAGTTGCACAGGCATGCTCATCCCATTAAGTTTAAAGATGTAAACCTATTACCTGAACTCTTTAGAAATTATTAAAATAAAGGTGAAACACAAAATAATACATGGTCATAGGAAGGTTTTTTTGGAAAACAGTTGAATATTTGCAACATTAAGATTAATTGGCAAGGGGGAGGAATCACTTTTTTTTTTTTTGGTACCAGTCCTGAGACTTGTACTCAGGGCCTATGAGCTGTCCCTGAGCTTTTTTGTTTAAGGCTATCACTCTAGCACAACTCCAGCTCTGGCTTTTTAGTGGTTAACTGGAGATAAAATTCTCACAAATCTTTGAACCATGATCCTCAGATCTGAACCTCCTGAGTAGCTAGGATTACAGGCATGAGCCAAACAAAATTACATGTTTTTCCTTCTATCTAACTCTAATGTCAAAACTTCCTATTCTAAATGATTACTTTTTACAAATGTTCTTGAATGTGTTAAAATAATTCTTTTTTAATTTTTTTTTTTTTGGTCCGGTCGTGGGGCCTGAACTCTGGGCCTGGGCACTGTCCCTCAGCTCTTCAGCTCAAGGCTAGCGCTCTACCACTTGAGCCACAGTGCCACTTCCGGCTTTTTTCTTTTTGCTTATGTGGTGCTGGGGAATTGAACTCAGGGCCTCATGCATTGCAAGGCAAGCGCTCTACCACTGAGCCACCTTCCCAGCCCCTATTAATATTCTTAGTCATAAAACTATTAACTTAATTAATTGTGTTGGTAACAAATTACAAACTAGACACTATAAACATAACTACATTATATTATTTTATCCATTATTACAGAAAGGTCAGGCAATATTTTAAATCTGTCTTTTAACTTAGTTCCTGTAAATTCATGTTCTATTTGATTATAGCAACTAATGTAACAATAATCATGAAACCCTAAGAAATATCATCACAAAGAAGATCAAAATGTTGTTTACAAAGTAGATTTTATAAATTACATGTGTATGTATGTGTGTTGATCCTGGGGCTTGGACTCAGGGCCTCTCTGTTGTCCTTCCGCTATTTTTGTTCAAAGCTAGTTCACCACTTGAGACACAGCTGTACTTCCTACATATTGCATTATCAGGTTAAGTGAAATAAATGTAATATTCATCAGCCAGAAGTGAAGGATCTAGAATTAGGAAATGTACTGTTTCAATTTAGTTACTACTTTTCTAAATAAATAATTTAAGATCACTTCTTTGACAATGGCTTTCTATGGCTAGAATTCTAATCACTACTAAAATCAAAATACTGTTTTTACTTACTAAGATTACCAAGGACCTTTACTTGAATAAAAATAAAAACTATATTCATATTTATATATTTATGTTATAGTCCATAAAAACTTACTAACAGCAGAAAAATAAAAAAATGTAATTCATATTTGCTTTTCATGACTTCCCTGAGACCAGCCCAGAATACATATAAGAAACTAAGGACCAAGCATATGATTTGACCTTTCAAAATCCTTAAGTAGCAAGAAAATCTTAAAAATCAAAGATTTTTTAATATATTAGAAGATAATTCCCCCCTTCAAATATTCTATTTCATATATTTCTTAGAAAATAAACTATCCACAAGGCACTGGTGGCTCATGCCTGTAATCCTAGTTATTCAGGAGGCTAAGATTTGAAGATCACGGTTCAAAGCCAGCCCAGCCAGGTAAGTCCATGAGACTCTTACCTCCAATAAATCACTAGAAAACTGGATGTGGCACTGTGGATCAAGCGGTAGAGCCTCGCGTTGAGCTGAAGAGTGCAGAGACAGCGCCCAGGCCGAGAGTTCAAGCCCCACGACCGACCAAAAAAAAAAAAAAAAGAAAAGAAAAGAAAAAGAAAAGAAACTACCCTATAAATGAGTGTCTCTTAAGGAAAAAGTTTGATTATTCTGGATAGTTCTTTGGAAATCCTTGCAAATCAATTATAACTTTTTGCTAAATTGTTTACTGTTTCTTAAAGAATGTGGAAAGCCCCTGCTTATTTAGGGACTTAGACATATAGTCTTCACTGCAAGTCTTTGTTGCTGTTGCAGTTATACATATACCATTACTTTGAAAAACTTGTTGAGTTTTACAGAACATGGGAAACATACAGTGTTCTCTAAAAGAAATGGACAGTTTACCTTTTGTCACAAGATGCTTATCAGTGAATCCTGTTCTTCCTGGAGCCCAAGATGATTCTAAGTTACTGCAGGAGGGAATGTGAGGGAGGGGGAAAGGGCTGGATGCCCAACTTCGTTATTTAACAGGCCCAGCAAAAGCATCTTTAAATTGACTTGTACTAGGACAATAAAATATGGTACATTCCCTATATTATTTTTCTAAGAATAGGTTTATCCTGTTTTCTTTTTCCATAGGTTTGTAAAAGTTCTTCTTTTATCCTTAGAAAGTTGTACTTCATTTTCTGTCCAAATTAACTGTGCCCTGAGATGAGCTGAGATGTTATTTAAGTGCCTCATTTGATTTAAAAGACATTTAATAATTTTTTGTGTGTATGTGCCAGTCCTGAGGTTTGAACTCAGGGCCTGGGAATGCTTTTTGCTCACGGCTAGTGCTCTACCACTTTGAGCAACAGCTCCACTTCTAACTTTTTTGTGGTTAATTGGAGATTAAGTTCATGGACTTTCCTGCCCAGCTGCTTTGAACCATGATCCTCGTACTCAGCCTCCTGAGTAGCTAGGATTACAGGTGTGAGC